AAAGTGTTCTCTAAGTCTGCTTTTAATTTAAGTAGATCCTCTTTCTCTTGTTCCATCCATGATTTCACTTTAGTCAAGTATGATATCACTTCATTCTAGAAATATGAATATACAGTAATTATTATTTAACAATTATCCTACATAAAATTATTTGTAACAAGCATGTTTATATATTTTTTGCTCTTACCAACCTCTTGACATGTATTTGTACCGACAAAAACATTCTCTACAGCACGTGTTTCCTAGAATTATATTAAGAGGCATTTAGAAATGAAGGAATTATTGCAATTGTTACTTTAAGTAATATAATATTTGTATTTGTGCATAATAGGAGAGAAAGTGTGTTACAGGGCAATCATGTTGATATATATTTCCATTCAAAGTTTCTATTAAATATTTCAATATTTATTAAATTGTATGTACATTACTCGTCAATTGACACAATTAAACATTACTCGACATAACTAATTCACTGTTTAATTTATTAATTAGAATTTATTTTATTTACCAATAGATAGTTTAATCTAAATACTATTGGAGTTAGATTTTTGAAATTTTTGATAAATTTTTACTATATTTCAAGATCTTTTTATCGATATTGCGCCAATGGTTACGCAGGTCAACTTTCGTTTGAGAGTAATTTATCGTTCTCGTCATTATAGCTTTGGTCTTTATTACAGGCAGACTTTCAGTTTCTCGTTTGCGATTTATACTATTCTCGATGCGAGTTTGCATCAAGGAAATGTAATTTTTATCCTCTGCGAATGTATAAAAGACTTTCGGCGCGTTAATTTTCTCATATGATTTACAGAAAGACTCCATTTCTTGAGTGTCAGTACCAAGGCTGTTAGAATAATTGTAAACGCGAAAAGGTAGATTGGAGTATAAACGCTGTAAACAAAAGATATTACTATCATTTGCAGACAAACGAAAGGGTTACTAATTATACCTTGGCCTTTTCTAATTTCAGCTCTTTTTGCATTTCTTTAATTATATCTTCTTTAAACTGTTTCTCTATGTTTGCAAAACGATACTGTTCCTGTAACGCAGCTATACGCTTTTGCAGAGATACTATCGTTTCATTTTTATCTAGCACTTCTGCTCTCAAAGCATCTTGCTTCTCTAACGATTCCTAGCAATCGATACAAAGCGGAATTATCTTCGAATCGTTGCTCGCGAAAAAAATGTACGTATGGAAGCGAATAGCACAAACTTTCTGGAAATTAGCCATCAGCTGTTCCATTTCTTCGGTCGCCTTGCGTTGTTCGTTTAACTGTACTTTCAAATTATTTAAATTTACGCTAGCATCGCTAGTTAATATTGCCAAAGGAGATTGCAAATATCTCGTCTCTGCGTCCTTTTCAATGAACATATCTTCCACAATATCGGCCATTAACGCAGTCTGAACAATAACAGGAAATTTAGATGCGTTTACAGTAACTTATCTTCTTTAAACAAATGTCAACATGATTGCCTTCGCGAACATTTTTATAACTACGGGAAATAGTCTCGTAATACAACGATCTTGAATGTGCTAACTTACATCAACCGAATTGCACGAAACTTGATTTGTAAACTTCGCACGTTTTTTAAGATTATCACTAAGGTTTTGAAATTGTGTACAATGTTTTTTAATAGTATCTTCCTTAATTTCTAGTTTCTCGTTGATACGAGTTACTTTATTTTCCAGCTCGGTTTGGTATCTGAGAAATACACGAAAGTTCGAATAGCAAAAACATGTTACATGGACGAATCATAGATATTAAAATTTGTTTTGTTTATACTTACGCAATCATTTTTTTTTCATTCTCCTGAAAGCGTTCAATTTGCAATTTTAAGGTCTGTATACTTTCATGATTTGTCTCTTCCTAAGTTAGAAATTGCATACGCGATTAAAAATTATTACTTTTAGCGGATATTACAAAAAAAATCTAATAAGGATTAGCATAAAAAGAACAACAATCTTTACATAAATCATTTCATAGGCCTATCATTTATTTTGCATAAGAAGCATTTTTGACAAAGAATTTACTAGAACGAGTGTAGGAAACCGAAATGTAAAATAAACAATATACATTGGTAATGTGTGCAAGAAAATTGCAAGCTTAGTTAGAGAGGTGTTAAATGAGCAGGATGCATTATAAAAATACTCCCACCTAATGGATAATCTGATTTATTTGGAGGACCATGATTTACTTTTATTAAAAGTTTGAATCTTTTATTGTCATCTAAATGTATATTTACCTGGTCACAGCTACAACTGCAAAGGTACAAAAAAGAAAATTGATTTACCATATAAGGGTCTAGATTGTATAATAATGAAAACTTACTCGATAGGAACGGGTATATCGCTAGGTTGAATTTCAAAGAATGTTATCCCATCTAAATTCCAACGCTTTTCCTGTGCTGCACGTCGTATAAATTCTAGTAAACTTCTAATATCGCTTTGAAGAAACTCTACTTTTTGTTGCATATATTCCTCGTGTTTCTCTAAATTACTGACACGACTCGAAAGTTCATTTATAGTCTGTAACAAAAAACATTTGTTATATATATATATATATATATATATATTACTCTCTTTATTTCAACCATTTCCATAAAAAGTTTTCAAAATCTCGCCTTCTCCGTGAAAATGGATTCTGTTTTCTTTTTGGATGCTAACACAGATGTCTGTTTCAATTGCTGTTCTAATATTTTTGCTTTACTACACACAGTTTCCTCCAGTTCTTCTACTGTCTGTACCAACGAAATGTTTTGTTCTCTTAAATTCTTGATCCATTCTTTTGATATTTCTAATTTCATCTGAAAGGTTGAGTATTTGTTATTAAAAAAAAATCACTTTAATCGCTGAATCTTGGAAAGTTCCGTATTTTAAGGAATAATTAAAAAGCTTACAGAGACTCGATCCAGTTCAGTAAAGCATACTCGATCAACAAGCTTGATACGATCCTCGTACAGTTTGTGAAACTCGTCGATAAGTTTTAGACATTCTGTTTTATCGCAAAGTTCCTGGGTAGATTTATCACTTGCAATGAAATCGCGATCTTCGTCCACAACCGTAGATATATTTGGAACGGGTTCGATCATTGAATCGAGATTATTCATGACACGTGAATTAGAAAGATACCGAACACAGGAATCGATCGTTGGTCAAGGTTTATTAAAGTAAAATAATCTTCCTACACTCGCTTTAAAAACGATCTTTAAATAAATGTCAACACGCTAACTCGCCATTTTATCAACTGACAACGTGTTTTTAATGGTATTTAAACCAGCAGCCTGAATCATGGATGGTCCAGATTGGCCAACTCGATTAGGAAAGGATAATGTCGGATGCTGCCATCTGTGGCGTACTTGTAATTCCGACAAGACTATTAAACATATATTCTATGGCTAACAAACATTATAACCTTCGAAGCTTTTGTACCATTAGTCAAAGTTTGTAAAGTTTCATAAAAATGCCAATGGCACGAAAGCTCCCGAGAGTTATTCAAGTAATATTTGGGAAAATAAATACAGAAACGATTATTGTAAATAGTTACTTATTATTTTCATTTCAAATAAAATTTGTCCAGGTCCAATGTATACACACTCGATAAAGTTCATTTTCTTATGATTTTTAGAGTAATTAAATTAATATAAAAATGTATCATTAATTTATGGAACTCGGTGATCGTTCAGACAACGGATGCGCGTTATTGGAGGGCACTGTATTTACAGAATTCACACTGTCCTGTTTGAAACTCACGTTTGTATTAAGATTAATATTAATTATAGACGTAGGCGCTGGGTCTTGCATATCTAATTGACTTTGGGCGATATCCTGCAAAGCAGCTTGAATCCTTTGTAGCAGCGCTTCTCCTTGCTTTACAACTTCTTCTAATTGTTCACCGGCTTCTTGATTCTCCTGTTCGAGACGACTAAGACTCGCGACCTGTAGTTCTTGTGATGATTCTTCGCTAGGCAAACTTTCTATCAATGTATCGATATCTTTTGCACATCTTGCTATTAAGGTTGCAAATAATGCTGCATAATCTACAATTAGAAATTGCTTACACAGATATTAACTAAATATTTAGTACAGAAAATGAAAAGTAAAATTACCTTCTTGAGGTTGATGCGGCTGCGGTGTTCCTACACGATCGAAACCAGGAAATTTACTGGGGGTAGAATATTGTTGTAAAATGCCCACGCTGTTACAAAAATGTTCAGCTTGCTAGAATAAGATATACGATTAAATAAATATATTCGTCGATACAGACACATTGATGTAGACTGGAGAAATGGAAAAATATATTACTTGATTTATGGTATCTTGTAATTGCGTTAGACGATCCGCCATTTTTTTACGATATAATTATTAGAACTGCATATAATTATTTCTATGATGCAAGTACTACTCCTTGTGCAACATTGTTCGATATGCAGTCTACCAACAAATTATAGATCGAATAACCTGATTTTTGACATTACTATCAATAATGTATTTTTATATTTCGATCAACTAAACCACTTTTAAATTATTCTTTTAAATATGTTTCTTATTAGAAGTCTGTAAATAACTTAATTTATACGGTACACAAACGTTCGACATAAGCGATGCCGTGCTGATCCAAAATAATGCGCGTGCCGCACTGTAAACATTCGTATAACATAAAAACAGCTAAATGACGCCTACGTAATTGCTTTTTTTTCTGTAATTTTAATAAACATTCGTAAGACAGAACATATTTAAATATGCATATCTATATATAGGTTGCATGCAATTCAATGCAATTGCATACGTTTGGCGTAGTTTGGCGTTTGCTCTTTGGTCATCTAAATGCGCCTTTCTTTATGGAGCATTTGCACCATAGAGTAGTTTCGCCAAGTTTTATAGAGGCGTAACTTTCGTTGGAATATTTTCAGGTTAGGGCTGGTTCTAAGCAAATTTAAACGTCGCGTTTTTATTGGTGACCAGTAATTGGGGATTTTCCTCTCGTACGGTACGAATCATTATTACCGACTATTCCTAGGTTTATTTCAGGCACGTGTACGGCAATTATCAAAACATTCGATACGAAATGTTTTATAGGTTATGTGTAATTTATTATTTCTTCAGACATATCGAACGTCATTGCTGCGACATATAAAAGCGAATTTAGAAAAAAGCTTATAATAAATAACCGTGTAGTATAATAATTACTATAAACCAGAAGTTTATAAAAAACAGGTAATAATATTTCCCGTAATATTAACTTCTAATTTTTCTTCTACAGTTCTAATATAAGATATTGATGGATAAAACTGTAAATATATTTGATTACAGCTAAAATGGCAAAGTCACGCATTACGAATAAAGCTCCGAGAAAAGAGGGATTCAATCGTTCAGGTCACAGTATGAATCCTGAACGACCCACGGAAGGGCTAAAAGGCGTAGCTAAAGTTCGATCGAAAGCAACGATTAAAAGACTACAAATGTATCGTAATCAAAAGCCCAAGCGTGATCGTACAGGTAAAATAATTAGTCCAGCTCCATTCCAAGGCTGGCAAGCGTCTGGTACTATGACTCGCGTGGAACCTTCGCAAAGGTGGTTTGGTAATTCAAGAGTGATCTCCCAGAATGCTTTGCAAAAATTTCAAGACGAATTAGGGAAAGCTATGAAAGATCCTTATAATGTTGTTATGAAACCTAGTCAATTACCAGTAACTCTACTTCAACAAAAGGCTGCAAACGCAAGGGTACATTTATTGGATACAGAAAGTTTTGATAGTGTCTTTGGTCCAAAGAAAATACGGAAAAGACCGAATTTAACAACGTCAACGTACGACGAGTTACAGAAATTAGTAGAACAGAAAGAGGAAGTGTATGATAGGGAAAAGGATTCTAAAGATCTTGATCTGGTACGTCCTGATACAGGTGTAAGAGATTTACAAAGAGACTGGGTTATGGCAGCGGGACAGAGTAAGAGAATTTGGAATGAATTATATAAAGTTATTGATTCTTCTGATGTTATTTTACAAGTATTAGATGCCAGAGATCCATTAGGAACTAGATCTCCTCCGGTAGAAAAATATCTTAAAACTGAAAAACCTCATAAGCATTTAATGTTCATTTTAAATAAAGTAGATCTTGTACCAACATGGGTTACACAAAGATGGGTTGCAATTTTGAGTGCAGAGTATCCAACGGTGGCGTTTCACGCTTCGTTGACGCATCCGTTTGGCAAAGGTTCCCTAATAAATTTATTACGTCAGTTTGCGAAATTACATATGGACAAAAAGCAAATTAGTGTAGGTTTTATAGGGTATCCCAATACAGGAAAAAGTTCAATTATAAATACATTGAAATCAAAGAAGGTGTGTAAGGTTGCACCGATAGCAGGTGAAACGAAAGTATGGCAATACATTACTTTGATGCGTCGTATTTATTTAATAGACTGTCCAGGTGTAGTTTATCCATCGGCAGAAACCGATACAGAAAAAGTTTTGAAAGGTGTAGTAAGAGTAGAACTTGTCCAAAATCCAGAAGACTATATCGAGGATGTTTTATCGCGAGTAAAAGCAGAATATATACGCAAAACTTATAAAATTATGGAATGGGAAGATCACATTGATTTCTTAGAGAAATTGGCTCGTAGAAGCGGAAAATTGTTGAAGAAAGGGGAACCAGATATATCCATCGTTTCGCGGATGGTTTTAAATGATTGGCAGCGTGGAAAATTACCTTTCTATGTAGCCCCTCCTGGTTTCGAAGAACCATTATCAAATGCTACGATTATTAACGAGTCTCCTGTCGAAAATGGTAACATGGAACACGAAAATAACGATGCTAATACAGAAAACACTGAAACTGTACAGAGCAAAGAACCAAAAAAGGTTCAGCTAGCTGTGATACAGGATTTTCGAAAAATAAGGGTTGGTTTACCATATTCAAACGAGGATATTAGAAATGACTTAAACTGTAACGAATCTGTAGATAAGGAAAATAAAGATAGAATGGAAAGTAGTTTAGTTTTAGATGATAGTGTTATCGATGAAACTGAAGGCAAATGTAATATCGAAGTTGACGAAGTATTATCAACGGAAAACAAAGAAAACGATGAAAGTAATAAAAGTTTGGAGGACGAGGATAACGGAGAAAGACAATCTTCTGATGATGAGAGTCGTCTCTCATTAAAAAAGGATACTTTGTTACAAAGTGCATACGATATTATAGAGGAGGACTATGATTCTAGCAGTAGCGAAACGTTTAACGCAAATACTGTATCGAGTAGTGGCGCGTTCAAAATTTCCTCTGTATCTTTCAAAACAGAGGAATCTTTGAAAAGCAAAAAGAAATTGACGAGTAAACAACGTCGAGCTATAGAAAGAGCTAATAAACGAAAGAAAATTGGTAGCAATTTTTACGAAGTTTCTAACGTGAAAAATAGAAATAGGAATAGGAAAGTTCCAAAAATCAAGAGAAAATAGTTTACAAATGTATACAAAAATTTCGACACTGCGTATGTAATCGTATCGAAAAAATATAGACTTTATTTATACAAATTATTATACATGAACTCGTTTTATTTATTTGTATTATATTTCTACAAAAATATGACCTTTACGACAATTTTTATTGTAAAACTGTAATCTCATAATTAGGTATCGTACGATCGAATAATTTAGATAGTTATTCAAATTGTATTACGAATATTAAGCTTAGTTTGATACTAATTGAATTCGTTTATACATTTATGAAAGATGCATTCATATATACATACATACACTTGCATACCATGCATGTCGCCATATTACAGAAAATGTATGCTATGCTGTGGCTGTGACGGTGTGTGTCTAATAACATGGCGACTACTGCCAATTGACAACGCGTTTTACCGTGTTAAGTACTTTTCAATTTTGTGTTTGTTGTACCTCTTTTTCTAGCTGGTAGTTCAAAAAGACGATATTTTTTTCTATGAGACGTTCATTTCGAGAATATTTCATCGGACGTAGCGATTGAATCATTTTCGAAAAAATTATCGTGGTGAGTCAGAAATCGTATACACACATCAACCTTAAGTAGCATAAATTGGTCTAAATTGCGAATGTAATTATTGTTTAAAGTGTCTTAAATATAACGAAATGTCGAATTAGTAAATGTCATTTCTCTTAAATCGTTTTTAATGCTAATGAAAAGGTAATCAGGAAATGTCTTTCCTCGAATGAGAATGATCACGTATCATGTCGTTCGTGTCAATTGAGTCAATTTTTAGTCGATTTGTGCTACATTGGGTGTTTATACCAATTTGTTTAATCGTAATTATAGAATAGTGGGAATTATTATAGACAACAGTTGCGATCTCATAGATTCCATTACTTTAAAAAATTGTAACTATATATATATATATATATATACACATAGCAAATAATTTATTTGTGTAAGAATTTATCTATGATACTGGTTTTTATAATATGGTTTTTTATTTCCACTGATGTTTCTCCACCATTCTACAATTAGAATTCAATTTGATACAACTAACCTTACATTGTAATTATTTTTCAACAGGAATAGGACCGTATAAGTTAAATAAAAATGCCTACACAGACAACAGAAAACGATGATATACGAGTGAAAATAATTTACAATGGGTAATATGTACATAATATTTGTGAATCTAATTAGCTTTCAATAGCATATTGAATTGTTAATCGAAATACTTAAATGAAATAATCAGAAATTAGTGGTGTTAAATCTAGAATACTATAAATATTAATATTATAAGTTGTGCATATATATGTTCTAGGAATATCTTTGAACCACTTGTTGCCTTTCCTTGTTTGAAATTTTTCGTCGCTAACTTATGAAAATAGGTGTTTTACAATATGAAGTATAATTAAAGAAGAAGAAGAAAAACGGTTATAATGGTTTCTTTTATATTAGGGAAGTGCAGATTACATATATTACTCCTGGAATTTCGGTAGACACACTGCGGGAAGAGATGCGTACGATATGTGGATTCGGTGCAGCAGGACCGGATCAATTTACGATGAAATGGGTTGACGACGAAGGAGACCCATGTAGGATCGCCTCTCAACAAGAACTGGACGAAGCACTGCGCCTTTATGAACTAGAAAAGGATACCGATATAATCATACATGGTAAGTATATGTATATTACAGATTACATATGAACACTATTGATACGACATTGGGCGAGACGTTAATTACATGTGTCACGTAATTGTGTAGTTCTACAGATAGTTGATAGTGTAGTTAAATATAATTCAACTAAATAATGTATAGATTGTTTCATATTGAAAAAAGTTTGGAGAATCTATACGTGAATTGAATATGTATACATGTGTAGGGTGTTTATGCACAGGTGGGTATACATTTAGAATAATTCTAAAGACTAAAATGAAAGGAAAATCAAGAATGACGAGAGGTTTTGAGGCTTTGCATTGGAATTAATTGTTGATTAATTGTTGAATTATTATTTAATAATTCTCTTTGCGAATAACATATGTATCAGAAAAATTCCAAAATTAAAACAGGTAACCTTCGTTATTTAATCCAGCATTAATTATTGACCGATTTTACTTAAAATCGAGATAATTCTCGAGACGAGAATATTATACATAAATTTTTGTATCATTAGGTCACCTCTGGTATGTTAAAACTATATTTTCCCTGGAACTCTTGTAGAAGAGTGTTTAATACGAATGCGAACGAATTAAAGAATAAGAGAAGAAAGAAAGGATAGAATGAGAGAAAGTTGATGCATTGAGATGAGTATGGATGGAAGAGGAATGAACGAGAGATGGAAGGTGTGAGTGGGTGTAAAGAAACACGAGGGAAGGTTCGAAAAGACGGGAAGAGAGGGTGGTTTGTTAAAGAGGAATTAGTTCTGTTTTCGGTGTGCCTTTATCCCAGCGTTTGCGCATTTCGTGGAGTAAAGCGCGTCGGGTGGTGACGGTAGTTAACGAATCCCGCGGCAGCAGTCGATATTCTTACTCGGACCGATTAGCCACGAACTTTTCCCACGGGGATAGATCTAGAGACGCTATTACACCCGGTCCACGCGCTAAAGGAAGATAACTTGGTATCTCGTTGCGAAAGAAAAGCTGAAACGCGAAACGTCGGTTCGTCGATTGACCGTAAACGTTTGTCCGTCGATAACGCAGCCACGTTCGACGAGAGGAAATCTTACACGGTCGTTTGTCGATGGTCGCGATTCATGTCGAGAGGTTGTGACAGCGTACCTTTAACAATAGCTGTTGTCACTGGAGAGGTTGCAAAAGTGGCGATAAACCAGCATCGATCGCGCTGACTCGTCGCATTCTCAGCCGGGCTCCTGCAAGAGGTCGGCCACGGGTAGAAGGGACGAGGACCGAGGACAAGCGAGGAGAAAGAAGGAGAGGAAGGGAAAGACAACTGGCCAGAAAGGGAGAGAGCGAGATTGAGAGAGCGTGCGCGCGTACCATAGGAAGGAAAGTAGGGAAAACTTGGGGTGGGAGTTTGAGGGTGATAGCGAGCAAAATACGGGAGCCAGTGGTGCACGGTTGTTGGCGGACGATATTAGGCAGCCGGGATAGAGAAAGGTGAAAGAGACAAATACGGCTAAATTCGCTGCGAAATGGCGTGGGGTTACTGGAGCGCAACTTCGGTCAGCGATCGGGGTCGGTCACCTCGTCGCGAGAAGGATAAACAGCAGCATCAGAGCTTGCATCATCAGCAACAGCAACAACAACAATTTCATCAGACCGAGACGGGAGTTACGCAGGGGTTGTACGGTGTCGTACAGCAGGTACAAGGGGAGCTAGGTGTCGGCTCCTCCTCCGTCTGTAGCGGGCCTAGTGGTGTTGCCGGTGTCGGTGCCGCAGTGGAGGAACCACCCTGCAGTATGATGATACAAGGTGGTGCCTTCTATTCTTATTCAGCCGCTACGGCCGCAGCCGCCGCCGCCGCCGCCGCAGCTGCCGTTGGGCGTAGGATTCCCTCTGCCGTCGAAGGACCATCCACCTCTTCCACAGGCATACAAGTTTTACCAAGAGATCGCCCGATTAAATCGAGCACCAGCACCTACCCGCCCTCACCGAGCAGCGACTCCGCCGAGTACGAGCAACCTATCGGAGGACTTCGCACCGAATGCTCCCCGAACAGCAGTCCCCGCGACGATATATTCATCCAACCCTCGTCGTCCTCCAGAATGAAGATACTCACCGACAAAGGCATCGACGACGCGTCGGACATCGACGTCGACGAAATCGCCGCGACGGAGATGATGTACGCCACGAGCAATCGCGCTATAGGGTGTCGTGTACATGGACCGTGTAATCCGCCACCGGATACCGCAGGCCCCATCCCCTCGCTGATAGACGACACGACCGGAACTCCTCAATTTTGGTTCAACGACATCACCTGGGGTAGGTTTTTCACGATCGACAGGAATAGAAAAGAAAGTTCGAAAGGCTAGTCCCCGCGAATGTCGTTGAGACGAGGATAATAATCGCGTGTCGGATTTTTTTTTTTTTTTTTTTTTTAACTTTGATATCATAGTATCGTACCGCTTTTTTTTTAATCCAACGATATTATTTATAATTTGAGGATTAATCTACTGACACCTGGATTACCTGTAAACATTTCTAGGTTTCTTCGTGGATCGCATTTTCTCCGCTCAATATCTCTTTCGTAGCCACCGTTACCAGATTCGCTGTCATACGAGTATATTATCTGCGTGATATCCGATTCGGCTCTGGAAATCACGTCGGCATATATTTCTTCATTTTTCATGATAACGGTAAATTATATTGAAGTTCAAATATTAAAGCACCGAGACAAATCGAAATGTAACAGTACACCAGAGCACTAATCGCAACAAAGTACCGATCAAATTTATCATCTAAGCGAAACGAACGGGAATTATCGCGGTCTTGAACTTGCAAAGACTCGATGAAATCGCGAACGCGTTAACACGGTCAGTTGACTCGCAACGAAACACGATCCGTCCGCCCTATCCTTTTCAACCCATTGTTTTCGTTTGATACCGAGCGACGTTCGTCCTCTGTCGACCTTCAGCGAGTCCGTTTACCACGGGAATACCGTAATCATCGTTTAAACCGCAGATTCCAGCTGTCGGATGGAATTGCAAAATATTGATCGCGTAAGGACGCCGTGTGTTTTTGAGACAGCGGTGTCCTAACATACACGTTTCTCTGATCGTCTGTACGTGTTTCGTGATATTGTAATGTCTAGACCGCGGATTTTATGCAATTGTCGTATACACTAACGCGGAGAACATAAAAATATACATAATGTACGTATGATATATTCTATTAATTAACGTAATGCATATACAGTGCATGTACCTCTTCGGTTACTTTCAGTATACAGGGTGTCCCAGAGATGTTGTAACACCTTGAAAGGGATGGTTCGGGAGGTGATTTGAAACAACTTTTTCCTTAGCGAAAATGTTGTCCGAGGCTTCGTTGAGGAGATATTAACGGAAAACCTTGACCAATCAGAGCGCGCGGATACCGTTGGAGCGGCCGCGGTAGCGTATGAGCGCGGCCGCCTAGCGCGTAGCCTACGCTCCATCGGCATACGCGCG